CAGAACCATCCTCTGGATGCATTTGGGCTGGGCTGAATGTTGTTCCCTCAGACAGCTGCTGCAGCCCTGGTGATTACTCCATTCCTTAAACTGTGCCTTGGCTGGCCCCAGAGGAGAATATACTGCATCTGAGCAGGACGTGCACTCGAGACACAAAAGGATGTTTGGAGAGATGTCTGACACCAATTTGAATGTCTTCTCAGTCTTCCCCCCTTCTCTTTATTTGACAGAAATGCTTAGAGCTAAAAAGCAGCCTGTTGGCCCAGCAGAAAGGGACTCAGTCATCACTGGAACGTCTCCGAGCCCTCATTAGACTGATACAGAGCGAGCAGATGATTCAGGTTACCATGACGACCACCACCACCTCCTCCCTGCTCACTGTCCCCTGGATCAAACCCTCCCCTGCCTCTGCTGCCGTGCACAAAGCCTTGCAGCAGTCCCAGGGCAACAACTGACAGAGCTGCCCACCAGAGAGCCGAGCAAGGGGGGGAGAAGGAGCTCCAGACACTTGTGCAGAGAGCATGGACTGAAACAAAGTGGGGGGGGAAGGAGCAGTCTCCCTTGGGACACACACAGAAACTTCCAAACCCACCCACCCAGGCTGGAGGGTGCCCACCCAGCTGGGGGTGCTGCAGTTTCCTGCTTGAGACCTTCAGTGCTTATGAGATTTCTTTTGTTCTGTTGGCCTTAATGTATCCCTGACTGAGGGTGGAGAGGAGGAGCGGGACATCCTTTTGTGGGGGGCAGCTCTGCTTGGAGGGGGAAAGTGTTCCATGCAAAGAGTTAGTGAGCCAGCAGAGGAGGAGTTGGGCTGAAAGGGAGGTCAGTGAAGATGACCAGGAGCTGAACTGCTCAGGACTCCACGTGGATGCTGAGCAGAGGAACAACATTGGCCCCGTTGATTCCGGGTGACCTGGAGCAGAACACGGACACTCACAGAGCCTTCCAAACAAGAGACCAGTTGGGTTTTTTTTTTCCTTCAGTATTATTAGAATTGAGAATTGCAGATATTTAAATAAAGAAACTGTATGAAGTTAGCATTTCTAGTCAAATATTGAAGTATTTTCATGCTGATGCTTCTGTATATGCGTTCTGAAGTATTTAAAGAGGTCTGACTGTAAAACTCCTTACTTTTTTGCAGGTCCTTTTTACTTATTTTGCTATTGGTGTATTTTTCTCATGGAGTTTTTGTGCAAGATTTAGCAGAAAACCATAATAGTGGATATCTTTGGCAGGTTGGGTTTCTTTTTTTTTTTTTTTTTAGAGAGATTATTTTGGGGGTTTTGTTTTTGTGTTAATTTTGGAAGTTTGTTTTTTTTTTAAAGAAAAAAAGCAAATAAATACTCTGGGGTTTTTCTGTTTGTTTCTTGCCAGTACAGATAATATGCCAAAAAGATAACTTTACATTTTTGTACTGTGTTTTTATTGTTAAAAAATATGTAAGATGTTTTTTTAAAGTAACTATTATTTTGTCTTTTTTTTTGCTTGTGGAAATATCTGCTGAAAAAACAACAAACCCCAAACCACCTGCCTCAAAGGGGTTGTTTCTCATCCTGGATCATATCAAAAGTTCTGGGGTTTGTTGGGTTTTGGGGTTGTTTGTGTTTTTTTTTTTTTTGAAACCTGATTCCTCGGTAGTATTTAGTTGGATTTTGGGACATTTGGGGAAGCATTAGCCTGAGGAAAACCCCAGTGCAACCTGCTTGTTCCACTAGCGAGTCTTCCTGATCCCGCAAGGGCCCGGCCAGCCCCCTGTGGGCCACAGCCCCCCTGGCACCCCCTGGCCTGCCCGGGGTGGGGGTGGCAAGGAGCACCCCCCTTCTTCTGGCTCTGTCCTTGATGAGCTCTCCATCAATTAACCCCACAGGCACTTAGGGAAAGCAAGCAGCCAGCAGAGCACCACGCACGGCCAGCCGCTCGCCTCAGCGCGTCCCACGGTGCCCAACAGCTTCACAGCTCCTCCTTTCCTTTCTGTCTTTCTTTTTTAGCTTGTTTTTAAGCAAACCACCACACGAGGGACTGGCTCTTCCCCATCCTTAGGCAGCACACAGTCCCTTTCAAACCATTTCCACAACTCCGGGAGAAACTGTGCAGTACTATACAAATCTATTTTAATACACAACACTCGGTTGAACAAGATTTTTATATTCTTTTATTGATGAACTAAGTAAACCAAGTAAAACTCAATTGTTATACATTGGTTGTTGTATGCCAATTCTGCATTCCAACGTGGCTTGCAATGTAAATGTTTTCAGGTTTAATGATTTGGGTTTGTTTTTTTTTTCCCTTCTCAGACAAATTAAAAGGAAAAGCGTGGAAGGGTGAATACGTGGAGAATTTTTTTGAAGGAGTGTCTTTGGACTGTTTAAAAGTAGTTATTTTGAAAAAGGGACTGTCCAGTGGATAGTGTGCATAGAAAAAAAAACAAAAAAACAAAGTGTTTGTCTTAAATATGCCAATGTAGTTTTACTTCTTTATGATGCATTATTAAACTTGATTGACAATTTCATGGTGTCGTGGTGATGTCCTTGGCTCAGGGGATGGAGAGTGGCCTGCCCAGGGCCTGCTGCCCTCACCCCTTGGCTGAGCAAGGGGGGAGTGACCAGGGTGGGTTTCTCCAGAGCTGTCTGCAGTTCTCAGATTTAAATGGCTACAATACTTCCTTGCAGGAGGATGCCCTCTTCCTTCAGGCCACCCTGTCTCCTGGGCAGTGGCACCCTCTCCACTCCCTCTCTGGGCTTCCTACCTCTTGGAATAATTTCTTCTCCTGCTTTTCCCTGGATGCAGAGACATTGGTGGTACCTCAGAGCTTCCCCTTTTCCCCTTGCCTCTCTCGTGGGCTGCATTTTTGAAGTTTTCTGCAGGATTTCAGCACTGCAGTGGGCTTGGCCCCATTGGGATGAACCGAGTCAGCTCTGGAGCAAGCCTGGGGCTCAGAGACAGAATTGTTACCACGAGGTGATGTGTTTCTGTGGCTCAGCCAAGCTGTCTGGCCGTGCTCCTTACAGCCTTTGTGCCTTTGCTTGCAGCAGCTTACTGGAGAGGGACTTGCTGCAGGCTGAGGACACCCCCTTGGCTGCAGCAGCTCTGCAGGCTGTGGCTCCAGACCTGCAGTTTGAGGTGCTCTTCAAGCGTGTGCTGGAGTCATTTTGTAAAGTTGTTTGTAAATCACTTTGTAAACATAGTAAAGAATTAAGAGATGGGTCTTGCTCGAGTTGTCTGGTTTCTAGATGGTGGAAGGGACAGAACTCCTCCAAAAAAAATGACCCAAATGAAAGCCAGACAATGCTACAGCTGTATAAAACCTACCACAGTGGCTGATGCTTATGCAGAGCAGGAGCAGGTTTGGTTGGGGTTTTTTGGTTTGTTTTTTTTTCCAGGGATGGGGGAAAGGGTATTTTTGGTTTGGCTGGGGACATGGGGGTTGCCTTTCTTCTGCTTCCTGGCAGAGTCACCATTTAATGTTGGGCTGTGGTCAGCAGGGTGAGCTCAGTGCTGCACCCTTGTTTCCTCTGCAGCTCCTCCCTGCTGGCCTCTGTTTTGGGAAGGGCACCCTGATTTTTCCTAAGGTTGCTTCCAATTTTACAAGACACCTCTCCCCCAAGCAGTAAACCCAGGAACTGGGATCACCACCCTCCTCTTTCTGCTCCAGCCTACAAACTCAGCCCTGTACCAACAGACAGGACCCAATTACAGAGCTCTGCGTGTTGCCTTCATAATTAATGCACTTGCAAGGGAGTGTAGGTTTCTGTTAGCCTTTCATCTTTGATAGTAATTTAAATTAAGGATTTGGTGGAGATGTGAAGGCACCACGGCAGCCTCTGTGCCCCTCGCTGGGGCTCTGGGCATTGTCCTGGAGAAGAATGGGGAGCTGCAGGGTTCCCACACTCCCCTCCCAAGCAGGAGTTCTTTCTGCAGCCCTGCCAGACTTCACAGCCTCAGAGCTCTTTATTTGGGCACCACAGACTGTCTTCTGTGGGTGGGACCTCTTCACATGCCATTAGTTACAGAGGAGCTGCTCTGCAAACAGCCCTTCGAATGGGACGCTGCCTCCAAGCCTGCCTGGCTTTTATTTGCACCTCTTCAAAGGTAATTTTCCCTCCTCTTCCTGCCTCTGCTTCCCCAGAAATGAGGGGAAAAGGAACTCTTCTCTCTGTTGGGAAGCAGCGTGGAGCAAGGCTGAGCAGGATGTGGAGCAAGGCTGAGCAGGATGAGGAACACTGGCATGGCTCCTTGGTGCCAGGATCTCAGAGGTTTTGGGGCTTCACGTCGTTAGAAGGAGAAGCCAAGATGGATCCACTGTGCCCTAAAGGCTAAAAAAAATCAGGAAGCAAAGTGAAGAGCTCTCAATTTATTTATATTTTTTTAATATTTAGCTCATGATCATTGGCAGCAATTTTGGTACGATGGATTTTATGGCAGTGCCAGTCCAGCTGGTGGCTTCTCCTGGGGCAGATCTTCGTGTGATGATGATGGCACAAAGTCCACAGCAGCTCTGTTGGGAGTGGACTCTGGATGCTGAGACACCCACCACACACAGATCTCCCAGCAGCTCGATGCCCTGTTAGGAACACTTCAACTTTTAGAAGAGTGCATTGTAAACTGATGGGTCCTTTTTGTGGGGTGTTCTCTGTAGCTGAAAAGAGACATTCCTGCAAAAATCTTTCGAGGTCCCTTCCAACCCCTATGATTCTATGATTCCACTGAAATGAGCAGCAGAGGCACAGCACACACAGCTCCACTCACTTCACTCAGGTTTGACCAACTGCAGCTTATTTTGCTCAGAAAACAAAGCCTGGCTTCTGAGATCAATCAATCCCCAGTGACTGACTGGTGCAAGCAGAAAATGCCAGACTCAGCTTCTGGGAGCCACTTTTTAAGTTCACCATGGTGGACAGCATTAAAGCAAAAGGGTTTGGTTTGGTTTTTCTCAAAAAAAAACCCTCAAAAAAACGAACAAAAATTTAAATTGTCACGACAGGGAAAGATCCAAAGTGTGTGCAGCCAAACAGAGGCTCTAGCCAGGGAGAATGAATTAAAAAAGATGCCTTTGCCCTTTGAAGGGGTTGTTTGTGTTTGTGCTGGTGGATTGCAGATCACTTCTGTGCTGTTCCGACGCCCCAAAAACGCCACACTCCACCTCTGATGATCAGCCCTGCTCGTTAAGCACTTAGCACAGCGATGTTAATTCACTCCTGCCTTTCATCTCGGGGCTGGAGCTGCGGCAGAAACAGCCTCTCCCCTCGCTGGCTGCCCGGCAGTGCAGGAGCTGCTGACAAAGCTGATGGGATGAGAACTTCCCTGGGAGCCTCTCGGGGCTGGTGCTTTGTCCCCTCTGCGTGGGGATGGTGCTGCCTGGCTGGTGGGGGGTGCTCCTGCCCCCCCGTGCTGGTCGTGGCTGGGCTGCAGAGCAGAAATGAGCCCAATGGCTCTTTTCAAACCACACCTCCCCTCC